GGCCCACGGCATTCTGGGGAAAGGTGATAACAAGCAGAGGACTGGGGGTAGTATTAAGCCGTGTGCAGTCGAGTTAAAAGGGTAAACACGGGAGAGCGGCTAGTATTCGAGGGAGAAAGAGGACATGGACACATGGCTCAGAGGAAGGAATGCAGCTTTCGCAAGAGGGAAACAGTCATATGTATGTCGGACAAGATTTTCGCTGGCGAAGGGATGTGGAGAATTTAAAACTTGTTCAGCTGGAAATAACAACGTATTTTCTGTTTTACTCTCCTTTACAAAGTTATGACCTGGTGAATTGGCGGATGGCCTGTCCGTCTGGTGACTTGGATTCAGCTTGCGCGGCCCCGTCTACTGTAATGAAGGCCTTCACGCTGTCTACCACGGTAACCTTCACTGAAGTGCCCCAGGACTGGCCGCAGAGGTTGCGCTTTGCCCGTGACCCTGCTGATCCCGGGCCCTGTCGCACACAAGCTTGCTGGAGTGATGCATTTGAGCCCTGGCATCGGGTGGACCTTGAAGAAGGAGGAACAGGAGAGTTGGCCGGCCTCATCAGGGCACGCAGGATCGGCATCTCCATTGCGCTGGGCCTCATTGGTTTTTTATTCCTCTTTATGTTCCGCCCCCTTAAATAAAAACACGCTTTTTGACTTCAATTTGACCACCGCATTTTGTAACTGCATTTCCACCTGAACTGGTTTATTCTGCTTCACTAAACATGGTCGACAGCACACGCACTTATTTTAACTTCTCCTGATTGGATAAGGACATATAATGACAAATAACTCCGTCCAATGGGCTCTACTGGCCTCTCCTTACCCACTGCACTAAAGTCTTTGGGCCACATCGCACTACTCTGTCAATATTTGATAATTTCGCATAAGGGTAGTCTTACGTCACAAGAATATTTCCGACAAAGGCAACGGAGGCTGGAATAGCTATTTCCGGCTCAGTAGCCATCATCCACAGTCATATCCAATCCCAGGTGGAGCACCATCCGAGTCTGAAATCCGTGGTTAGAGGTCCAACGCTCTAACCATTGAGCCAAATTCTCGTTTCCTTGAGAAGTAGAAGACAGCTCGATCGCTGGGACACTATGTTTATTTGCCTGA